ATTGGTGAAGGCGAGCGTTCGCGCCCCCTCTCCCAATTGTCCTCTTTACCAGCTGAGCTAGTGGTGCTAGCCCCTCTGAATATCTTGGGCATAGCTGGGTAAGGAGCATGGACGGCTCTCACTGCTGTACAGTCTGTGGAGCCATGCTCCAGATAGATGACGGTCACGACCTGTGTCCTGCCTGCCTTGGACATGACCATCTGGTGGATGCCCTGTCAGAGAACCCCTGCATGAATTGCAGCTTCATGTCGCATGCTGTGAGGGTGGCCCGGCTGGCCCAGTTTCGCCCCAAACTCGGCGATGACCTCCCGCCTTCTGGGCAGGAGGCTCCACCTAGGCGCTCGAAGCGCCGGACTGAGGCCGCAGTCTCTGTGGCCCCTCCTGGGAAGAAGCGAGCCAGGTCTGATAGGGGCCTCTCCACAAGGGTGGAGCAGCTCTCCGCTGAATTAGCGGAGATGAAGTCCCTTTTTCAGGTACACCAACTGGGAACTGAACCAGTGGCAGCAACTGGACTCTCCTCCCCACCCATGCCTGAACTGGCTGTGGAGGAGGATGTGCTATCCTTGGCTGCCTCTGCCTCTCACTTTTTAGGTGAGGAGGACGGGCATTCATCTCGAGTCTCAGAGACAGCTTCACTCTCTTCTTCTCGGAGTGCAGTTAGTGGGTCGGGTGACGGCTCGATGCAGGACATCATGCGTATGGCCCTGAGACAGCTGCAGCTGGACGTCCCACAACCAGAGGCGTCCACCCCTGGAAGTGCCTTCTTCAGGCGCGGACTGACCCCTCCTTCCTTTTCTGTCCCTCCATCAGAGGAGTTCCTGAGGGAGTTGCATGGTTGCTGGCGGGACCCCAAGGCCTTTGCGCGCCTCTCTGCAGATGGCAGAGTGTTGGCGGCCATGCATGAGCCGGCTGCAGCAGGCTTGGATCGCATGCCAGCGATAGAACCTGCTGTTGCCTCTCTCATCGTGTCACCAGATGAAGCTCTGCGCAGTCATGTTCGGTGCCCACGAGCTCAGTGTCGTGTCACGGATGAATTCCTCTGCAGAGCCTATGCCGCCGGAGCGCGTGCTGGCCGCCTAGGTAATTCCTTGGCACACCTAATGCTTGCCCTCTCCGCGTCCCTTCAGGGGACTAGTGGTGCGACAGCAGCGATGGGCTTTAACGATGCAGCGCTTCAGGCCTTTGCACTAATGACGAGGGAGCTTGGGCGTGTGATGTCCTCCTTGGTCCAAGCTCGCCGACAGGTCTGGTTAGCGCAGTCAGCATTGACTGAGCCATGCCGTAGAGCCCTCCGTAATGTCCCAGTGGTGACGGGGGAGTTGTTCGGTTCGGCTGCCTTGGAAGCACTGGAACGGACTGTCCAGGCACGACAGAGAAGGCAGCAATTTTCGAGCCTTAGCAGGCCAATGCCCCCTCCACCTCCTCGGCATCCAAGGCGCCTGTCGGCTGGCTCCAGCATGCAGCCGCCGCCTGGGGGTCATAACCGGCCGGGTGGTCCTTACCCTCATGCGGTTCAGCAAAGGCCCAGCAGGAGCTTTCGTGGGTTGGTCCACCGACCAGCTGGGCAGGCTCGGACCAGGGACTCTGGCTGCCGCCCCCCCACGGCCCCTAGGGGTCGTGGAGGGAGACGGTGATGCCATCAGGCCGACCGTCGGATATTTCTCCCACCAGCAGCTCAGCTATTGGGTTGCTCACGCCGTGGACCCATGGGTGGTTGCCACTCTGACCCATGGTTACCGGCTACAGTTCCGACGGCGGCCTCGTATCTCAGGCCGGGTCAAGATGACTGTAATCGCCGACCCGGTGAAAGCTCAAGCACTAGACCAGGAACTTTCCGCCCTCCTGGCCAAGGGCGCAATAGAGGCAGTGGACCCTCTGCAACAACCCAGGGGCTATTACTCGACTTACTTCCTTGTGCAAAAGAAGACGGGCGGGTTTCGTCCCATTTTAGACCTGAGGGGACTCAACCAGTACCTAAAGGAGCTGCCCTTCCACATGCTCACAACAGCAGAAGTCCTTCAAGCTGTCACGAGGGAGGAATGGTTCACGTCTGTAGACCTGAAGGATGCATATTTTCATGTGCCTATTGCGGCAGAACATTGCCGCTTTCTCAGGTTTGCCTATCGGGATCACCACTGGCAGTTCCGGGTACTTCCATTCGGGCTCTCTCTCTCCCCAAGGGTGTTCACTCGGTGCGTGAAGGCAGCCCTCTCTCCTCTGCAGGCCTGCGGAGTGAAGATTCTGCCGTACTTAGACGATTGGCTTCTGTGCGCCCCGTCTCAGGCCTGTGCCTTTCACGACACAAACCGCCTGCTCGCTCATATGTCCCAGTTGGGCCTCAATGTCAACCTGGAGAAGAGCTGCCTGATCCCTTCCCAGACGACCACCTTTCTTGGGGTGGTTCTGGATTCATCTTCAATGAGAGCTCGCCCATCCGCTCAAAGGGTGGCCGGCATACTCCAGCTGGTCAATCGGTTCAGGCTGGGCAAGCAGCTCCCCTATGTTGCCTTTTTGCAACTACTCGGCAAGCTGACATCAGTCACTCGGGTGGTGCCCTTAGGCCTGCTGTCACTTCGCCCCTTGCAGAGGTGGCTCAACAGCTTTCACCTAGATGCCAGGCTGCACAGGCATCACAAGCTCGCAGTGACGTGGTCATGTCTTCATGCCATGACTCCATGGAGGGACGAAGATTATTTGTCCAGGGGTGTCCCCATGGGAGTGGTAGTGTGTCGCAGGGAAGTGGTCACGACGGATGCCAGCTCCATGGGATGGGGGGCTGTATGGCAACGCAGAGCGGTTCAGGGCCGCTGGGGTCAAAGAGACCATTCCAAGCATATAAATGTGCTGGAGCTGCGTGCAGTGCACTTGGCACTCAGGCACTTCCTGCCTCACCTGGAAGGGAGGCATGTACTTGTTCGGTCAGACAACACCTCTGTTGTCTACCACATCAACCATCAGGGGGGCACCAGGTCAGCACAACTTCTGAGTGTGTCCAGAGAGCTCCTGGAATGGGCCTCTCCTCGCCTGTCCACCCTGCGGGCAGCGTACTTGCCAGGGCGACACAATCAGGTCGCAGATTTTCTCTCCCGCCAAGAGTCCCCTCCGGGAGAGTGGTCCCTCCACAGAGACATAGTGCTGATGATCTGGGACCGTTTTGGTCAGGCAGAGATAGACCTGTTTGCGACGGAAGAGTCGACTCAGTGTCCCCTATGGTACTCTCTTACGGGGGCGTCGGGTGCGCTAGGCCAGGACGCATTGGCTCATCCTTGGCCAAGGGTCCTTCTGTATGCCTTTCCACCCCTTTCTCTAATTTGGCCAACCCTTCAGAGAGTCCTCGAGGAGGGCCACAGGATGCTGCTGGTGGCTCCGTATTGGCCAGCGCGACCATGGTTCCCACTGCTTCGAAGTCTATGTCAGGGCGTCCCATGGTGTCTTCCGACCAGAAGGGACTTGCTGTCTCAGTTGGGGGGACTGATATGGCACCCCAATCCTCAACGTCTTCGGCTGTGGGTGTGGCCACTGCAAGGCTAGGACAGCAGCTGACTGGAGTTTCGAGCCCCGTCAGATGCACCATCCTGGGCGCCAGGGCACCCTCTACTCGTCAGCAGTACGAAAACAGGTGGCGCCTGTTTTCCCAATGGTGTTCGGATCACAACAAGGATCCAGTCTCCTGTACAATACCCACCATTCTGGAGTTTCTCCAGTCTCTACTTGGTAAGGGTCGCTGTCCTTCGACGCTTAAAGTTTATGTAGCGGCAATATCAGCTAATCACGCTGGCATTGATGGCTGTACGGTAGGGAGCCATAATCTAGTCTCTCTTTTTCTGCGTGGTGCCCGTAGGTCACACCCGCCGACAGCTCCACGAGCACCAGGTTGGGACCTTCCCTTGGTTCTCGAAGCTCTGTGCCGTCCTCCTTTCGAGCCTCTGTCGCAGGCGGACCTCAAGTGGCTTTCATGTAAGACGGCTTTTTTGTTGGCTATTACCTCAGCAAAGAGGGTCAGCGAGCTACATGCTCTCTCAATCAGCCCCTCATGTCTCAGGTGGGGCCCTGAGGGCTCGTGTGTTACCTTGTGGCCAAACATTGCATTCGTACCAAAGGTGTTATCTCACTCTCACTCTAACCAACCGTTGAGGCTGGCACGTTTTCAGCCTGCGCCTGGTGAGGGGTCTGCATTATTGTGCCCGGTAAGGGCACTGGAGGCATATGTTGCAGCTACTGCCGTGATAAGACATTCAGACCAGCTGTTTGTGTGTTATGGAGGCCCTAGGTTAGGCTGTCCTCTTTCCAAACAGCGCCTCTCCCACTGGATCGTGGACGTCATCTGCCACGCCTATGCTGCAGGGCCCGGCTCCCTGCCGGTCGGCTTGAAGGCTCACTCTACCAGGAGCGTCTCCGCTTCCTGGGCTGCCCTGAGAGGGGTTCCGCTGGAAGCAATATGTGCTGCTGCATCATGGGCTTCCCCAAGCACGTTCACCAGATTTTATAGAGTTAACGTGGCCACCCCTCATCCCCTGGGCCAGGTTCTTCTACAAGGGTCCTCTGGGCCTCCTCAGTGAGGTAGGTGTTAGGATTCCTTGTGACATCGTTGATATTAGTCATTCAGTGCTTTCAGCACCGCCCTCTGGCGGTCAGGAGGGATGAAATAGAACGAAAGTTACGTATGTAACTACGGTTCTATGAATCCCGGATGACCGCCAGAGCTTCTCCGTCACTCAGAATCCTTGCGTTTCGCGAGAAGATTCTGTAGGAGCAGAGCAGCGGATGACGTCGGGCTATATAGCCTCTGATTGGTCATCCGTGTCACACCTGTGACTCCGTTGGTATTATTACTCGAATCAGCGCATGCGCGAAGGGAACATTCAGTGCTTTCAGCACCGCCCTCTGGCGGTCATCCGGGATTCATAGAACCGTAGTTACATACGTAACTTTCGTTTTCATGAGCTGTATGCCATAATCATCAGTAATAAAACAATTAAAGACCTGAAATATTTCAGTTGGTGTGCAATGAATCTGAAATATATGAAAGTTTCATTTTTATCATTACATTATGGAAAATAATGACCTTTATCACAATATGCTAATTTTTTAGAAGGACCGGTATATACATATACACACATACATACACATACATATATATACATATACACACATACATACACATACATATATATATATATATACATACACATACATATATATATATATATGTATATATACAGTGAGAAAAACAAGTATTTGAACACCCTGAGACTTTGCAAGATCTCCCATTTAGAAATCATGGAGGGATCTAAAATTTTCATCTTCGGTGCATGTCCACTGCGAGACATATAATCTAAAAAAAAATTACAAATCTGGAAATCACAATGTATGATTTTTTAATAATTTATTATGTGCCGGTCCACTGTACTGAAGAGCAAGCTGAGCTGTAAGGCAAAGCTCTCCGTTTACCAGTTCCTACCCTCACCTATGGTCATAAACTTTGGATAATGGCTGAAGGAACAATCACGGACACAAGCAGTCAAAATGAGTTTTCTCTGCGGGTATTTTTCATTCATTCAACCTTTACTTAGACAGGTAAATCCCATTGAGCCTCGAGGACTCATTTACAAGAGAGAAGTGATGGTATGGTATAAAGTTTATTCATTTTAAAAAACAAAACAAAACAATTCCATAAACTATATATAAAAAAAAAAACGAGATTTAAAATGAAAGGCAGAAGAAAGAAGAAAAAATCTTATTATATCTGCCCCTTTTTTCAAACAATTAGTTCAATCATAATAATCAGTAGCTGGGTAGCTGGACTCTCCCAAAAAACAAAAAAACCCAAAGACTTAATGGAAAATCTGCATGCGAAAAACTGTCCGCCCTTGCTACTTCCGTAGGATTCAGGTGAGAAAGCAACAGCCAGGTGCTGCAGATCAATGCACTGAGTGTGTTAAAACAATGTAAAGATGGAAAGTCATCAGCACCGACCATAGAGAAGCAACTGTTGCTTCCCATCGATCAGGGAAGAGTCAAAGGTAATTTCCAAAATAATCGGGAGTCCACTGAGAGAAAAATTATTTACCTGTAAAAACACTTATGGCTAAACTAGAGCTGCTCTAAATGCACTTCACCATGTTTAGGAGAAAACTAAACAACACATCACAACAAACACACCCACTGTCAAACACGGGGGTGGAGGGCTGATGGCTTGGACTCGTTTTGCAGCCACAGGACTTTGACGCCTCACATTCACCGAGTCAGTCACGCAATCCTCTGTAGACCAAAGGATTCTAGAGTCCAACTGAGTCCATCTGTCTGACAGCTGAAGCTTGAACAAAACTGGGTCATGATACAACAGAACAATCCCAAACACAGCTGCTAATCTACAACAGAATGGCTGAAAAAGAAAAGAATGAAGGTGTTGCAACAGACAAAGTCAACACCCCGGCCTGATTAAAAGCTGTGATGGGACCTGAAAAGAACTGAGCAGAAACAAAAGTCTGCAAACCACAATGAACTGAAGTAACATGGACAGAAGAGTGGGCCAACATTCCTCAACAACCATGCCAGAAACTCTCAAAGTCTCACAGACAACCATTACTGTGATTTTGTGTACAAACTGAAAATGACTGGAAACTCTACAGCTTTAACAGCGGACCTAACTCCTCCCTCTGCACTACTCCATCTTCCTGGTGTTTGTTTTACACATACAATAACTTGTTGTTTAGCAGAAACTATAAGCTTCTATCAATATGAACATTATTGAATTTATTGTAATGTGAATTTTTTAAATGTCTTAGTTTGTACAAAGGTAGTTAAAAAGAAAAGCACTGACCACTGATGACCTGTCCAAACAGCTCCTCTGGTGTGTCTCCAAAAAACGGGACACATCCTACAAGGAACTCATAAAGGATGATGCCCATAGCCCACCAGTCCACCGGTTTCCCATAGCCCTGTCTCAGGATCACCTCTGGTGCAATGTATTCTGGTGTTCCACAAACCTGAAAGGAAGGAAAAACACAAATATACCCAAAACTTTATATTGTGGGAACAAATATTGTTAAACTGCACATGGGTTACGTTTGGAGACGTACCTGCTTGTCAGAGAACTCCCTGGCATCTTTCTCTATGTGGCCCTCATAGAGGTTGGTGGTCATGTTCATCAGTCCAACTTTAGAGAGACCAAAGTCGGTCAACTTAATGTGTCCCATTGAAGTCACCAGCAGACTGAGAGAAAACATTTAAATATATTAAACTCATTCATATTAGCATGTAAAAACATGCAAAAATAAATAAATAATCTTAATTTTAAAATGAGAAAAGTGGAAGAAATATTTATAAAACGAGCACCTCCTTTGTGCAGTGTCAAACTGTGTCATCACCATTGATTAAATAGCACGGAAGATTCATTTTAATGTTGAATCTGATCAATGCAGTGTTTTACATACTGCTTTTTTCCTGGATACAACACTGTGCAAAAGTCTTAATGAAACTGGCATTATTCAATATTTTCCCCCAACACAGCTGGACTTTCCTGTAGCCTTTTAAAGCAGACTTGATCAATAGTTTTCAGTTTTTCTTTGGACTTTGGCTGCTTTTCAAATACTTCTGACCTATGAATTTTTCAGGCATAAAAGTGCTCCTAAAATTAAAGAGTGTTGTCTCAGCACACAGAAGACAACTTTGTTTCAACTAGATCTTTAAGCGCTTTGTTTACCAGCAGCCTGTCACAAAGATATAATTCATCTTCATCCTCAATAATCCAGGTAGAAAAATCTAAGAAAGTTCATTTTGTTAAGTTAGGTCCTCTGGACAGATTCAAAACAATAAAAATAAGAGGGGGACAGTTTAACCCCCTCTTACAATGCTGTTATTGCTAGAATCACTCAGCCCTCTGTGAATAGCGAGCGGCCTTCAGGGCACTAAAGACCAGTTGTTAGGCTGATGGTCCTCCTTGATCATGGGAATAGCTAGTCCTGGATGTCAACAACAAACTGGTTGATCCACTATGAGAAGGTGCTTTTTATAAGACTGAGTTTATTACAGCTCCTGAGACTGAAGAAGTCTTCTGGATAAAAGACGAAACGTTTCTACAAGTTTTTAATTTTTGTTTTAATCCGTCCAGAGGACCTGACTTAACTTTGTTAGATCCCAACTCTTTAGTTGAATCTATGAAAAATACCAACGAAATTGACAGAAATATCTTATCTAGACTGTGACCCTGGGTTTTTGATTTGCTCAAAGACTGAATGTAATAAGATTATGACCCGGTTCTGACCGGTTTAAACGGGGCCAAATTGTAGAAATGACTGATTGTGCAGTTTTATAATCACAACAGTTTTTATTTGCAAAATAAAGCTTAACCTCTGTTGTCTCCATATTCTATTGTCACTACTTATAAATAAAGATCCCCCTGGATCTGGGGGAGTGGTGGCGCAGAGGTTAGAGAAGGTGGGCCTGTGATTGGAAGATCGCCAGATCAAGCCCCGGTGCAAACAACATCCAAAATGTGGGTGTGGTAGGTGAAGCACCCACACTTGCCCCCACCCTCATTCGCCCCAACTGTGGGCCCATGAGCAAGGCCCTTAACCCACCATCTGCTCCTAAACAGGTCTCTCTTGAAAATGAGTTATCGTGGCTCAATGAGACTACCTGGATAAATAAAGGCTAAATGAAAAAAATATATATCTGGGAATTATTTTGGATTCTCATTTAACTTATGCAATCCTTATGTACTAAGCTGAAAAAAAAAAGTATCTTTACACTACTCCAAAATTAGATCAAATTTGACATTTTCTCTTTCGAACACTTATCTTCATGCCATAATGCTTTCAACTGTGTCATACTGTTTACCTGTCAGGTCTCTTACTACGAACAAAATCCTGAAACCCACAGCTAGGCTCTACAATCCATCCATCCATCCATCCATCCATCCATCAATCCATCCATCCATCCATTTTCTTCCGCTTATTCGGGGTCGGGTCGCGGGGGTAGCAGCCTAAGTAGGGAGGCCCAGACTTCCCTCTCCCCAGCTACTTGGTCCAGCTCTTCCGGGGGAATCCCGAGGCGTTCCCAGGCCAAACAAGAAACATAGTCCCTCCAGCGTGTCCTGGGTCTTCCTCTGGGCCTCCTTCCGATGGGACGTGTCCGGAACACCTCACCAGGGAGGCGTCCAGGAGGCATCCTAACCAGATGTCCAAGCCACCTCAACTGGCTTCTCTTGACGTGGAGAAGCAGCGGCTCTACTCTGAGTCCCTCCCGGAGGACTGAGCTTCTCACCCTGTCTCTAAGGGAGAGCCCAGACACCCTGCGGAGAAAACTCATTTTGGCCGCTTATATCCGAGATCTCGTTCTTTCGGTCACAACCCAAAGCTCGTGACCATAGATGAGGGTGGGAACGTAGATCGATCGGTAAATTGAGAGCTTCGCCTTTTGACTCAGCTCTCTCTTCACCACGACAGACCTGTACAGCGCCCGCTTCACTGCAGATGCTGCACCTATCCGCCTATCGATCTCACGCTCCATTTTTCCCTCATTCGTGAACAAGACCCCAAGATACTTGAACTCCTCCACTACAATAGGGCCTACAAAATTCACAAACTTCCCGGCTGGACTCATCACTGTACAGCTCTTTCTTCTTCAGATGCTCCAACTTTTCAAGTTATGTTCTACACAGCAGTATTAAATTGTATTTTCAGGTTTTTCATGGTGTCAGTAATGTAGCTCTTTCTACTTTGATGCCTAAAACCAATTATGGACATGGTCACTCGACTAGGTCTGCTACAAGCGGACATTTGCCACTACCAGCCTTTAAAACTGTTATGGCCAGAGATCATTTTTCTGTTTATACTAAAACATGGACCGACGTTCCACAACATATAAAGTCCATTTCAACATTGGCACTTTTCAGGAAGACTCATGAGCGTCATCCGTTACCTTCTTTTGCAATCACCGTTAGGTGTCTGCCATATAAATGCTGCTATTTTTGTATTTTGTAATGTGGTATGTCTGTGTGTCTGTTAATGTGATGCTGGATATCTGTGTTGTTTATGTTCTGCAGAACAGGAACCTGCAGTAAAACAGCAATTATGCTGAGCCAGGCCTGATTTATTTTAATATTTTCCTGTTTAAAATTTAAATAAATAAAAAAATTAAAACTCCTAATCTTTAAATCCACTGTTTCAGGTAGTTATGTTTTCAATCAGTTGTAAGGATTTTTTGGGGGTGGTGAAATAACCACCTGCTACGTGACCACAGAACAGATATGTACACAACTATGAAGTAAACAGTACTCCTCCGTGTTCATCGTTTTACTTGTCAGGTTTGAGATCTCTGTGGACAATGCCGTAGTTGTGAAGATACTCCAGAGCCAGAACGGTTTCTGCAAAATACATCCTGGCCATATCCACAGGCAGCGGGCCCATGTTCTTCAAAAGGGTGGCACAGTCTCCTCCTGGGAATAAAACAAAATAAAATCTATGAAGACATGTGGTTTCTCATTGGTTTTGGAACAAAAACAGTAGTCGGTGTAGATGGTGCACATTCAGACACCAACTGACCTTCAACATACTCCATCACCATGCACAGGTGGCGCCGTGTCTCAAAGGAGCAGTACATGGACACAACAAAAGGGTTCTCAGCAAAGGTCAGGATGTCTCTTTCCACAAAAGCCTGCTGGATCTGATTTCTCAGCATCAGATTCTGCTTGTTGATTTTTTTCATGGCAAATCGTTGCTTTGTTTCCTTATGTCGAACTAAATAAACAGCTCTGTGGAAGCAAGAGTTCACCAGTTAGCTGTGGAAAGATCAGGCTCTGATTGTTGGTTGTCAAAAATTCACTTTTTATAGTTAATAAAAAAGAAAGGCAACATTCTTCTTATTGTCACTTTTGTTTTGCTGCCATCTTTTACATACAGGAATATAAGAGAAGTTTTTACCCGTAGGCACCGTTACTGATGAGTTTTATCATCTCAAAGTCAAATTCACAGGGTTTTCTCCTAGAACGAAGAGCTGAACTGAGGCTGTGGGACTGAGAACAAGACGAGAGATGAGTCTGTCATAATTTGCTCTAAATAGAACACATTTTATGAAATATTTTTCTGAGCTCTTACAGAGTCGTCCGTTTCTGGGGTTTCTGCAATACCACTGTCACAACTGGTCAGCTGAGCAATTCCTATAAAACACAAACCAAAAATATAATTTAAACAAAATGTTTTACAGTTTAAACCCTGAACGTTACGAGTATTTACTACATGAGAGCTGCAAACGTTTGCAGTGCAGTTATTTAAACAAAAGAAATATAAATGCTGCAGAATCAGCCTTTTTAAACAGGATGCAAGCAGCAGACTTCAACCAGATGTTAGCTTCGAGATGCTGACTCTGAACTGAGGATAAATGAAGTGAAAATCGATGCATGTCTAACGCTCATTATGAAAACCACTACTCCAGAACACATTAGGAGTTCTAGTACTTAGGAGCCGCCTTGCATCTTTTCTGTTTTGTTTGTGTGCAGCAATGTTAACTACCAAGTGCTCTCCCCAAAGAGCCTGAAAATACATTGTCATTGCTATTGCACATCTGTTGCCCCTCTGGGGTTTGCTGCAGGCAAACAGAGCACAGGAGACGCTTTCGGGGGAGGTTGGGATGGGGAGGCGTTGACGAGCCAGCCTGTGTGGATCTGGATCCAGTCTGTAGGGAGGCCATTCATTTCTAATTAGTCCAAATGAATGTTATTGGTAAGCAACTCTGCAGGGACAAGGGTCATTAGAAAGACAGTCTGTTCACTTCATGGCACTAGGAGTGTTAAGTCTGAGATTTTTCCACAAATCAACTTTATTTTTAGACTTATTAACAGGAATGTTACACAGTAGGAAGTAAAACCAATCAAAGTGAAGAAGTAAATACAGGTAAGGAAAAAAAAACGATCATGCCCATAATAATTTTACAAATATTATTCTAAATGTGGTGTGGTAGAGATATCATCAGCATATTCTCAGAGCACTAATGCATCTTGTGAAATCTCATGATACGGGATGACATCACATGTAACATCATTTACAAGGTTTGATCAAGTTGGCTCTAACCCTGGCTCATTTGGGCACAAAATGGTCTTAGCCTAAACCTCCGGCTTAAAAGGCAGCGATGATATGTATTCCTTCAAGGCATGCCAGCATTTTATTTCTTTTCTGCATTTTTTCAGAGACTTGTAAATAACATAAGTTATTCCCAGACTTTTTGTTTATTATTTGCACTGATGATGATGATGTGAGCTTCCTGTACCTTCCATGGGATCTCGGGTAAGTCCCAGCTGACTGATGATGTAACGAGGGATGTCCGTTTTGATGCCCTGACCCTCCTTGGCATGTCCTTCAGCCGCCTCCAGAAGGTAGTAAAACTCCTCTGGATCAAACTCCTGGACACACATAACTCTTCATTAGCTTTGTTTTTCAATAACATCCACAAGAAATTAAATTGGCACTTGATTTTTACTTATTATTATTTATTAAACTCTGTTAATCCCCAATGGGTAAATTAATTCTCTGCATTTTTCCCATTGCACATGTGAGCACACATGTGAAGCAGTGAGCTGCCATCTAGGGCGCCTGGGGAGCAGTCGGGGGGTTAAGGACCTTGCTCAAGGGCCCTGACTGGGGCAATTGAGGGTGGAGGCAGGTGTGGGTGTTTCACATTTTCCACCCACATTTTGATGTTGTCGGTTTGGGAGTTGAACCGGGGAGTTGATCGGTGATCCTCCAATCACAGGCCCACACTCCCGAACTAACCACTGCGCCACCACTCCCATGTTTTCTAGTCTGATATGAAAAATGCAGAGAACTTGATTGTTTTATTAGCCCAGATGTTTTCCCACAAATATCTCAATTTTTTAAAATAAATTCTGAATCTGAACTACTTTAGTTCTTTTTTTATTCCCTTGTGCTCATAATTTGAACTGTGGTGTGTAACCAGTATTAACTGCTGTTCAAACAAATTATTAAACAAAATGTGTGTAATAAATAGTTACATACCAGACATTCCAACAGGCGGGCAGGTCGTGATATCACTATGAGGATCTTCTTTACCACCTCTTTGATGAAGTTCACCTCCTCGCTCTCTGACCTCTCTGTGGACTGAACGACAGAAGAGTCTCAGTAATGCAACATAGCATCAAATCAAAGGCAGTTTTCACATCTTGTGCACATTCCTAATATCAACCAATGAAAAATGAAAAAAGGAGACAATGTTGCTTTTGCCGGTATCCGAGTCTGTTTGTTTTTGTATGCCATCTTAGTAAAAATATTTGTTGAACTGATGGATGAATGTCAATGGCAATTTCAGAAAGTAAGAATTGGATGTACATCTAAATCTATGGGGTCAGCCTGATTTAGACTATGAGCCACAGCCATCTAACCTTAGGAAACATAAAAATAGCTTTAATTTGTTCCATTTTACAGATAGGTACTGTATTGTAAGGTATTGTTTTACAGATATAATGAGTTGTCCCAAACATTTATCTAAATATTGCGTGAGATTTTTGTTTAAAATTTTGGCATTGACTGTTAGGAGTCAACCCTTCATTAGAGACCAGTCAAAAAATTTAAACTAAAAAAGAAGATACAGCAGTCCCTCGATACTTTGCGGTTCGTTTTTCGCGGACTCTCACTATTGCGGGTTTTCAAATTAAGAGTGGACATGACACACAATTGGCTGATTGATGGATGAGCTGCACGATCATCATGGATTTTATATTTAAAATAAATTATTTAAAATAATTTAGCACCTGCTGCATCTGTGTGCAGCCCACATGTGCAGGGGGAAGCTCCCTCCTGCAGTGTGTCATATCTCCGCTCTGCAGCAGAGAAGTGGGCGTGGTCAAGAGCACTGGCAGAGTGCAGTCGAGGCAGAGAGCAGAGAGAGGGAAATCATGACATTCTGTGCTCTTTTAGAGCATTTAGAGTTTAGAAATGTTTACAATATTGCAAGAGTGTGGGAAGGGTTTTAAACACCTTTATATATATATATATATATATATATATATATGTATATATATATTTTTTTTTTACATCTATACATATTCTTTTACATTTTATTGTGGGATGTAACTGGGACACTGTGTACATAATCTCATTCCACCACATGTGGTATGTATGACAAATAAATCTCTCTGACGTATATATATATATATATATATATATATATATATATATATATATATATATATATATGCACATACACACACAAACCGGATTCCAAAAAAGTTGGGACACAACATATTGCGAATAAAAACTGAATGCAATGATGTGGAGATGGCAAATGTGAATATTTTATTCGTAATATAACGTAGATGACAGATCAAAAGTTTAATCTGAGTAAATGTAACATTTTAAAGGAAAAATATGTTGATTCAAAACTTCACATTGTCAACAAATCCCAAAAAAGTTGGGACAAGTAGCAATAAGTGGCTGGCAAAAGGAAATTGAGCATATAATGAACAGCTGGAAGACCAATTAACACCAATTAGGTCAATTGACAACATGATTGGGTATAAAAATAGCTTCTCAGAGTGTCAGTGTCTCTCAGAAGCCAAGATGGTAAAAGGATCACCAATTCCACCATTGTTGCGCAGAAAGATAGTGCAGCAATACCAGAATGGTGTTACCCAGCGTAAAATAGCAAAGACTTTTAAGTTATCATCATCAACCGTGCATAACATCATCAAAAGATTCAGAGAATCTGGAACAATCGCTGTGCGTAAGGGTCAAGGCCGTAAAACTCTATTGGACGCTCGTGATCGCTGGGCCCTTAAACGTCACTGCACCTCAAACAGGAATGCCACTGTCAAGGAAGTAACAGAATGGGCTCAGGAATACTTCCAGAAAGCATTGTCAGTGAACACAATCCACCGTGCCATCCGCCGTTGCCAGCTGAAACTCTACAGTGCAAAGAGGAAGCCATTTCTAAGCAAGCGCCACAAGCTCAGACGTTTGCACTGGGCCAGGGGTCATTTAAAATGGAGTGTGGCAAAATGGAAGACTGTTCTGTGGTCAGATGAGTCACGATTTGAAGTTCTTTATGGAACACTGGGACGCCATGTCATCCGGACCAGAGAGGACAAGGATAGCCCAAGTTGTTATCAACGCTCCGTTCAGAAGCCTGCATCACTGATGGTATGGGGTTGCATGAGCGCTTGTGGCATGGGCAGCTTGCATGTCTGGAAAGGCACCATTAATGCAGAGAACTATGTTCAGGTTCTAGAACAACATATGCTCCCATCTAGA